ATTTATGTCCCAGAAATCTTTCTATATTCCCTTTCTAGGTGACAGATGAAGGAGAAAGTCATCAATTTCTATTTGTCACTAATGTGAAAGACCAATTGATTGTCTATATGGATGACTCAATTTGGAACCAAGATGAAAAGTTACGCACCAATCAAAATTTCATAAATAAAATCACATGGTAAGATCATTAGGGGAGCCCACTACTCAAAAAACCCCATGGTACATCCTCAACAAGGCCAAGCATCTCGGTGTGTCGCATATATTTAATGCACAGCAGAAGGCCATCAGAAAATGTTTTTTATTCTTCCCTCTTGTTTCCCCCAATTCTCCTATTAGCTTCATCTTTATAACATTTGAATGTTCTAAGTTGAACATTCCCTGCAAAGAATTCAAGCTCTTTGGAGGAAAGCAACTAAGTAAAAAAATATAGTTGTAAAGTGCTCGGGGGTCCTAGTAAGGCAGAGTGTCCAATAAATCCAAGCACTTGCTGCTCCACCATGCAGGGAAACCTTAAGCAGAAAAGAGATTCAATTGCTGCAATAACTTGACGATGTGTCTGGTGCCACCCATACCAAGCAGGACTTCCCAAGCTTCTGGAATCCCCAAGCCTCAGCTTCCTCATCTGTCAGCTACACTATATGTTTCTAGGAAATTCTTTGGAGGGAAAAGTGTTGAAGAAAAGCAAGATAAGACTATGTTAGCTATAATGAGTCTATCTTTGGATTTCTTTACCAAACACAACAAAATGTATTTAATATGATTTCTATAATAATCAGAGATCTCAAGCTGAGCACGGTGGTGCACACCTATAATCCCAGCAGCTCAGGAGGCTGAGGCAGGAGGATCTCAAGTTCAAAGCCAGGCTCGGCAACTTAGCAAGGCCCTAAGCAATTCAGTGAGACCTTGTCTCAAAATAAAACATAAAAATAGGCTGGAGATGTGGCTTAGTGGTTAAGTGCCCCTGGGTTCAATCCCCAGGACCAATAAATAAATAGGAGATCCCAGATCTCAGCAGCTCAGAAGGCTGAGGCAGGAGGATCTCAAGTTCAAAGCCAGCCTCGGCAACTTAGAGAATATTCTCGGCCCAACAGAGAATAAAGCCTTTCCCACGGCAAGTGATTATTTTGACTGTTATCATTTAGCACCATATCCCCAGTGCTTGTCACACTGCATTCAATAAATATCTGTTGAATTAATTAATGAATGAATAATTGAATCAATGCATTTATTATTGCAGCCAAAACTTTCCATAGAACCCAATCAGGACATTCAGCCAATTCTTATTCTCTCTTCTATGAAAGACAGATAGATGGACATGTTCTCCTCCTCTTTCTCCTGTCTCTTCTACTTCTTCCCACAGGTCAACTCTTTGCACATAAGTAAGACAGGAAGAAAACAGTTTAAAAACATGGTACCAAACATAGTATTTGGGAAAGGCCATGGACGCATCCATCACTCTTACTGAGTTGGAGCCACACATGTGCATACACCATGTGCCCAGCCTCCAGTGGAGTCCAAAGTCTGGTAAGAAAATGCTGTAATAATTAGAATATTGCACCATAAGTGCAGGAACAAATGTATGTAACAGGGGGAATGGGAGAATATTAAAGAAAAGATGAACTCTCCCTGGGAGGTCAGGAAGATACTGGGAAAGGATTTGCAGAGAACTGTTTAATCCAGTGGTGATGCAGCAGAGTTGATGGAGATGCTTTCCAAGCAGAGGGGAATGGAATGGGAGGAAGAACACTTACGACAGAGAAAGGGCATGGGCAAAGCTTGTTTGGAGTCAAGCTCCTGGTACAGCCGGGCCACAGCAAGCGATTCAGTGTGACTGCAGCATGGCAGGAGTCATGGGTAGAGAATGAGGCAGCTGGAAATCCCTGCGTCCATATGCCTAGAGAATACATACTGAGTTCCCTGCATTAGGACAGCATTGGCTAATGTCTGAAATTTTCCAGAAGAAATTAGAGAACGCTACAAGAGGTAATAATCTTCACCTACTGTGGAAGGTGACTCTGTTCCCTAGTGGCTAAGGGAATTCACCCATGGGCACATGGAGAGAAGAGTCAAGGGCAACAGGCTCTCAGCTGACCACTGCTAGCCAGGTCACTTGCCATGTGACCTTGGCCAAACCACTGACCCTTGGGCCTGTTTCCTCATCTGCAAAATAAGCAGGTTGGATAATGGATCCTTACTACCTTTTACATCTCTGAGATATTATGACCACAGTTGATCTCTTTAAGTAATGGAGGGCTACAGAGACAGGGTGGGGTCTTCCTGGGACATTTATTAACTCGTGGCTCCACAGTCACCACTCAGGACCCAGAGGGACAGAAACAAAATCAAAAAAAATTTTCAGAAGATGGATGGCTGAGGGGGCTGACATATGAGTGTGAGTTTGGGGAATTTATGCAGGCAGCCTCACAGCCATAAATAAAATCCCTTTCTCTTACCCAAAGACCTCATTTGAGGGTAAACATCGGACACTGCAATAGACAGTTTGGCTGTATCTCCCACCCTGTGCCTCACTTGAATGAAAAACAGCCATCACAAGACAGGGTAATGGGTTCGGCGGCCTCTTTACAAACATCCATATTGTCACCAGCGACAAGCGGGGCTGAGGATGGAGCAGGCTGGACCATTTATCTCTGATATCCTGGGTCCTTTTGTGCAGACCTGTTTTGACAGCCATCCACTCTGAGACTGGGGAACTGGGGAAAACCCCCCAAAACTCCAATGTTGGGAGCAGTGACCCCCTTTCCCAGGAGACTCTCAAGGACTTGGGAGACCCCAAAACAGTCTGCCCAGCAAGCCCACCTGCGTGCACGGCTGCCTACCATGAGGCACAGCTACTCATATTTTCTTGACCTATTTCTCTTTCCATCCCTGCCCTACTCCACTTCCCTTCTGGAGTGCATGTAATTAGCACCTCTCCATCCACAAGGATCGGGAGATTTTTTAAAAGCTCCTAACTCTCAAGATAATCAAGGAGACAGGAAAACAGGTCCTGGCATTGCTGTTTGGGTTTTTCTCTTTTCTTTCTCTTCCTTGGCTTAACTCTGCTTCCTGGTCTCTGCAGGAGATGGGGCCGGTTTGACCTTGTCAGCCAGCAGCCCCTCAGCTGGAAATCATGGGAAATGGCCTGGCATGAACCAAAGCTGGGGGCCAGCAGAGTCTTGATTGACAGCTGAACAAGCACCAGGCAAAGTGTGGATGTGGGAGCATACGGGGTCCCTGCAAAGCCCTCTGTTGTCAGCACAGCAGCCAAGAGAGGGATCTGTTGGCTCCACTTTCTGTTTCCCTCCAGGAGAACAAGTGTCAGGAGAGCCAAGGCCGCGAGGCACTCCCAATTCTGGCTCAATCCCTTTCCGCTTCCCATTATTGACAAATGGAAATTGATGGGTTACCGCTTTATCCGCTCATTTAGAGGGGCTAGAAAACCTTGCAGCAAATGCTGAATAACTGTAGGCATCTTATAAATAAGTATCTTAAGGATATGAACCATTTTCGCTCTGCCACTAAGCAGAATTAAATTAGATTTTGAAGTTGCTGCAGAAATGAATGAAGAAGAGGGAGGGAAGATTTTGTTTTTAATTCCCCATAATTTTTTTTATAAAGACTGTAGAGCAGGAAGTCAGGGCAGGGTGAGAGGAGAGTGGAGTCACTTGTGCATACTTCTGATTTCAAGCAGAGCCTCTGCAGGCAGAGAAACATGCCCACGGCATCACAAGGGGCAGCTCAGAGACCTGCAGGCTCAGCCTCCGGCCTGGCTTGGCCAGGGTCTCAGCTATCGACCCGCCTCGGCCCGTGCTGGACCACCACCACATGCCAACCATAATCTCGGCCCTTAGGACCAGTCCTGATGGCAATTGGAGGAATCTTGGAGTTTGAAGTCCTTTCCCTGGATTTAGCCTTAAACCTTAAGTCCTTTTAGGATCGGGTTTAGGATCTAGATCCAGCATCATTTACGTCACCCACACGGCTCCCACCCTAGTCTGTGAAGAGAAGCCTCATGTGGTCATCCATCTGGATAACCTGCCTGGTATTTGACTCTTATAGGGCTGTCACCCAACCTTGTCCCTGGGTCCCTGCTGGTGGGTCTTCTTGTAACCAACACATTTATCACTACTGTGATTTATCACTACAGTAGATTTATCACTACTGTGGCCCACCCATCTGTCCACTCTGACTCCCACCCCACATGCACATATAGAAACTACCGACACCTTCCCATCTGACCTGACCCCACAGGTTCCCTGGCTGAGCCCTCTGATGCCCACATTGGGCCTGCTGCACTAGACCGTCCTCAGCCCTGCAGCCAGGACTGAGTCCCCAGTACTCGAGATCTGGAATCCCTTGGCCTGCAGTTGGCCAGCCTCACTCAGTCCCAGCAAGAGAGGAGACACGTGATCCCCCCACCCCCGGCTCCAGGTTTGGAGTTGCTGATGGTACAGGTAGCAGCCCTGCCTACCTACCCAAGCAACAAGGACAGGGAGAGACAGAAGGATCCTGCCCTTCCTCTCAGAATCAAGCCACAGCCAGCAAATAGCAAGCCAAGGGCAGGGTCACCAAGCAGACTCCTGGATTCATCCAAATTGCCAAGGACACACCACCGTCTCCAGGGTTCTTTGATTGGTCAGAGAAGAGGAGAAGTGACCTGTTCTCTTACCTCTAGCCCTGGATTTGAACTCCCCACGGCCATTCTCACCCTTCTTTGTCACTAATATTTGCCTCTTCATGGGCTAGGCTGATTCTGTCATGAACTGTACCAGGAAGTTATCACCAAGGGAGCTCAAGTCAACCAGATCAGATCTGTCAATCTCTTGCTGCCTCAATACCACCACCTCCGCCTCCTCCGTCCCCACCTCTGCCCCAGCCAAACTCAGGAAGGCACAGTGCAGGGGTGGGCAGCCTCCTGCAAGGCTTGGGCAGCACCCAGATGTCGCCCATGGATCCTTGGAGTAATGAGTAGGAGCATCACATAGCCAGGCCACACTTACCGATCCTCAGGGAGTGCGGGCTGCAGGCCACCATCACGAGCCACGCTGGAAGCAGCACCAAAGGCGCCGAGAGGCGGGGCATCTTCTATAAATCCTCATGGAGCCCTCTGCTGGTCTGGGCATGACATAACTCTGTGAGAAAGCAGAGGAGCAGGTGAATGCTAAGGGCTTGGGAGTCGCCCTTACCCAGCCCAGAGACCAGGGCCTCCAGGGAGAGCCACTGGGGAGGGTGACAACCCCACACCAGAAATTCCTGTGGGAGTGGGCCATGCCGTTCCTCCCCATGCCCACCAGGCCCAAAGAAAACTCGAGTTTCAATCCCGGCCTCCTGGTCCACTGGGGGCAGGTGCTGCAACTGAGGCTCAGGATTCACAGCACCTCCTTTTCTTTCAAAATCTCTACTAGGGAATGAGGACTTCCACCTACTCTTAAGGAACAGCAGCCCAGACTGAGCAGAAGAGGAACGGGGGAGGGTCTCCCCTAGCCCCAGGCCCCCCGGCATTTTCCCGTGCTAGACAGTGGGGTGGGGAAGAGGCTGCGTTCAAGTCCAGCCCCTCCACTCGCCAGCTGTCTCAGTTTTCTTGTTTTGTAAAAGTGACAATGACCCCTCTTAGAGGAGCTGACCTGAGGAATAACTAAGCTAACATAAACGTAGGAGAAGCTGTTGAAGAGGGGCCATGAGAATTCCAGTTCCTCCCTGGCTGCAAATACCAAAGGCAGAAGCACACATTGCAGACCATCAGAAGGTTCCACGCCTGCTTCTGATGCCTGCTAAAAATTAACCCCCTCCCCAGCTTCCTCCACCAACTCCTCCCTTCCTTCCTGATATCAACTGCAGAGCTGTGAAGGGGGACGCCTCCCCCCAGGGCAGCAGGGTTACTATCCCCCTCCCACTGGCAAGACCTCTCAGACACCTTAAGATTCAGAGTCAATAACCAAGCAGCTCTTCTCCCATCACAAGGGTGAGAATAGAGCTAGTGAGCACCTGGATATCCTAATCCCAGGAAAGGAAAGCAGAAAACATTTGAATGTTTCCTTCTCCTGCCTCAGACAATCCAACAGAATAATGAGCAAAAGATCTGAATAGATACTTCACTAGATAATGTATTCCAATGACCTGCACAAATTTGAAACGGAGCTCTGCTTCATTGGGCATCAAGAAAATATGACTTTATATCATAACAATTATATGTTTACCCACCAGAATGGCACCAAAAAAAAAAAAAAGACACCATCAAGTGTTAGTGAGGGCATCGAGCGACCGGAACTCTCACGCAGTGTCAATGGGACTGTAAATGCATTTGGCTGCTTTGGGAAACCAGTCTACAAGCACCTTTCATAAACCCTAAAGACCCAACAACTGCTCTCCTTGCTACATCTCCCACAAAAATGCACAGATATGCTCACCAAAGACTTGGCCTGGAACACTCAAAGCTGCACTCTTTGGATTTCCTCAAACTGGACGATACGCAAAAGTCCAGTAGCAGAAAGGGGAAACATACTGCATATTCACACAATGGAACGGGATGCAGAAATGTCAACGAAACACAACAGCCAAGGCCTCGGCAAGGATGGCTCTCATCAATATAATATTGAGCAAAAGAAACCAGGCACACGATTCTATCTACGCAAAGTGCAAAATGGGCAAAGCTATGCTGCGCGGTCAGAAGTCCAGTTAGCGGTTAGGGTGGGCACTAGCATGAGGGCTTCTGGGATACGGGCCTTTTCTTTTTGTGCTGTACTTCTGAAAAAAATGTTTTTTTTTTTTTAATAGCATCCCGCCTCTCCGACTTGCAGTTTCCTGTGCACAGTGTCCCCTCTCCCTGCAGCATGCTCCCCTCCTTGCTCCTGCCACTTGCCAGAATCACTGTCCCCTCTCCCTGCACCATCACTGCCACCATGGTGGCTGTGACAGCAGCACTTTTCCTTCTATGGCCGCCGCCTTTGTGTGTCTCTGCCTGGGATCACTGTAGCTCCTGAAGGGCAAGAGCTGTTTCCAGCTTCCTGTTGGGTCCCCAGAGACTACTTGGGCACAAAGTCCACACAGTACCTACTTGCTCAATGAATGGAAGGCCTTAAGCAATCCCCTGCTAGAAGAAGACAGAGGGAGATAAAGGGGAGAGGAATGGGATAAAGCAACTGCACTGTTGGCAAGTCAGGCCCAGAATCTTTGTCCCCTAATTCACGGGTGTTAGTGCAGAGATAGGTTAAAGCAAACACAGTCTCAAGGGAAGCTGGGCGTTGGTGCTTATTATGGATAAAGTTGATTATTCAGTGATTATCTGTCTCCTCACTACAATGTGAGCTCAACAGAGGTGGAACTGAGTCCTTGTCCCTCTGGTGAGGTTTCAAGGTCCAGGATCCAGGATCTGGAGTGCTCGGCCTGCATACACAGGCCTCCCTCGGTCCTGGCAAGGAAAATGCTATGTGATTTCCCAGATGGAAAAGGGGGTCTTGGTCCTGTTTCTCCAAGATCAATGTTTTTTTTTTAGCCCTAAATTATTAAAATATTTTTAGTTAATAAAAGCCAAGCTGTTAGGTTTTAGACTAGACTCATTTTAACATTAAACTAAAATTAAGACATCAAATTTCTTTGTGAAGGATCTAGAAGCTTCACCTTGCTGCCTCATGTGGAAAAAGTGAAGACAGAAAAAGAAAGAGGTGGAGTCAGAGCCCTGCCCAGCCCTGCCTCTGTGTGACCTTGAGCGTCACAATTCACTGTTCTTGCGCACAACTGCCTCATCTGTAACAGTTTGTGTGGTGGATTAAATACAATAAAGAACATGGAAAAAATTTCCAAACCACTGAGCCCTCCACACGTTCAACATGGTGGTTTGTTTTATTCTTGTAAAGTTTAGGAGGAGATTATTTCTCATCATCCTGCTCAGGGTCACATAGCTATAATCCAAGGCAGCCCCAGACCTCAGCCATCACTGTTCTGAAATGTGGTCTCCAGTCTTCAGGGCCATGAATGACATAAGCCAAACTTGCTCAAATTGAGTGTAGTTCTGTCATCAAATAAAATTTACACGGGCTAATCTGACACCTATTTAGCCATCTGCATAATAATTATTATGCAGCCTGCTGATCAAGCATACCTAGAAAGCATTTGATGTAAGTGACTGTATTCAGTATTACTTTTATACAGCCTAACCAGATTTTTTACAGTTCTTTCCTCTTTGACAGTTCACTTATCTGCTCGGTGATATTTATTGAGGCTGTAATATATGCCAGGCTCTGTTGCAGGCTCTGGGGATACAGTCAACCTCAGAGAACAAAGAGTTGAAAAACTTACCCTTCCCATACAATTGAGGGCATTGTTCTGAACACCTTGGGGCAGCCATGCCAACCACAATGGATACAGAGTCAGGGTTGGACTGAAGTCAGGCTGGATCTGGCTCTCAATCTTGTAAGGAATGATCTTGGGCACTGCACCCTTTGGAGCCTGTTTCCTTATCCACTGGAAACATGGGAAGAAGAATGCCTACCTCTGGGATGATGAGCACCAGGAAAGCAAGGAACAATTCGGACTTTTCCACCTGTGTCCCCAGTGCCTGGCACAGGCTGGCACATAGTAGGCACTCACAAAATATCTGTCGAAATAATGAAAGAATCCAATCAGAGAATGTGTATGGACGACTCTGCCAGCCGCCATGTATTCATCAGTGAGTTACAGTTAGCATCCTTGCCCATGAGGAATATAATCCAGATACCGTTTCTCCACCCGTGCAAGCTCTCCTCCTTTGACCCTCCACTGACCGTGGCTCCAGGGCACCATTTATCACACGGACCTGTGACAGCCTGACAGATGTGCTGTAGAGAGCTGGACTGGGAGTTGGGGCTTCTGCACTCTCCCCTCTGTTCTCCCTTGTACCTGCCTGGATGTTTCCAGACATTCCCCATTTTTTCCAGAAGGGGAACCTAATTAGTCATTTTTTCACAATGGCAAGATTGCTCTGATTCCCGAAGCTAGGAGAGACATCCTTCAAATATCTCTTTCAGATCAAAGAGATATGTTCTATTTGGAATGCAAGCCCCAAGCAGGCAGGAGCTTTCTCTTATTCTTGGCAGCACCTCCAAGCACCTTGGACAGTGCCTGGAGCATGGCTGCTACAAAGGACCGCGGTGGACTCGGTGAATGAATGAGTGCTTACTTAACTTTGCACTTACTCCTGTACTTCAGGGCAGGAGCATCTCTTTCAGGCATGCATCTACCTGATGTACTTGCTATGGGGCCGACATGGAGTAGAAGCTCAATAAACGCCTGCTGAGTCACGCGCAGTGGCCAGCTGATAGCGTGACAGGTACAGCCTGCTGACAGCTCACTGCATTCTGAGGTGCACACTCTGTCTGGACCCCCGCAGCCCGGCTGTGCTGAATGACCTCTCCCCTCCTGACTCGCCTGCAGTCCCTCCACTGCTCGCTCGCTCTCTCCCTCTCTCTCTCTCACCTCATAGGCTGCTACATCATTAATCGTGTTTTTCTGGGGTGGGATGGAGAGGAAGCTGACAGTCACCAGACAGTGTTTGGTGGCGGGGAGGATAGAGGAAATCAGAGGGGAAGCCAGATTAATTACAGGTTTTCTCTCAGTTATGGGCAACAAGATCTTGATTACCCCTCCTGACGCTCCAGGCTCCTCAAGACAAATGGATGTGGGCTTCTCCGCTGTTCTCTGACTCCCCCTGGCTGGGAGAAACTCTAGGAAGCAGCCAGCACCTGCCTGGAGAGTGAAGAGGAGGCCAGGGAAGGGGACAGAGGCAGCCCTAAGCCCTGTGGCCTCCTAGAGGTGAGCTTTGTGGCCTAATACATTTGGGTGCACTTGGTAGGTATATAGTTTCCATGGTAATAAGTAGGAGATGGGAGGAAGCTGGACTATCCTGGGAGTTGGGGGCCAGCGTGCCCCCTCACTCTGTCAGTCAACTCTTTGAGCCTCAGTTTCTGATGCTATAAAGTGAGGGTATTAGACTAGATGTTCTCCAAGATTCTTTTAAGCTCTGAAATTCCACAGTTCTCAGAACTGAATTTTATAATATTGATTAGATATTTGCTATGAGCAAAGGACCATTTTGGACTCATTTGCTCCTCAGAAGAACCCTGGGAGGCAGATAGGCCTCTACATCTGCAGATGTAGAAGCCAAGGGCAGAGAGGTTGAGTGACTTGCCAAGGTCACTACACTGGCAAATGGAGGAACTGGGACATCCTCAGCTCCAGGACCCTGCTCTCTTCCACCGCCTTCAACACCCACCTTCTCTTTGTGTCCCAGAACAGAGCACAGAGTTGGCCCTGAGGAGATGCCAGAATGCGCTTGGGATGACCATAATGATGTTGGAGGACAAGCCCAGCACAGTGCAAGTGGACCCCGGCCATCTGCACATCTTGCTGAATTAGGGGCGGCAACAGACCAATGAGAATGCGGGGGCTCTCTGGCAAAACCTTCAGCCCAGTGCCCTCAGGAGATTTAGGGTTTCCCACAGGAGTTGCCCCCCAGGAGTCTGTGATGAGTTATGGTGAGACAGCTTGCCCTGGTGCCACAGGAGGTCGGCACCTGCCCCAGGAGCAGGACCTGGTCTGACTTCTTAGGATGAACTGAAGAGCAGCAGCCAAGCTGCCTGCCCAGCATGGGACTGACCCTAGAGAGGGTGTCCCAAGAGCACTCCAAGTATAGGGATGTGGTAGCACCCAGACACAGGACTAGGAACAACCCCTCTGGATTTTCAGGCTCCATTGGGCAAGAGGAATGACTACCCAACCTTTTCACCCTCTAATCACTCCCTTAGAGATTTCAGAAAGAAGCCCCTGATGCACCTCTAAATAAATATCCCTCACCAGAGGCCAGGGTTTCAATCCCAGCTGCCATTGTGTGTCCTTAAGCTGATTGCTTAACCTCTCTGAGCTTCATTTCCTCAATTGTAAGACTGCAGATAATGACCCCTGGAAAAATTGTGGCCTGGACCTTAAGTATGATGCTATTGATAAATGTGAACTTCCTTCCTTTCACCTCTCCATCCCCACTCAACACTTCCCTCCAGGTCTTGTACATAAGTTCCCTGGCCCATGTCCACATCTTCTCCCAACAAGATGGTCTCCCACGCCTGCTTGTAAGTAGTGTGAATCCACAGCCCTCACGTACTCAAAGTGCTGCTGCAGGTCAACATCACCCGGGAAGCAGTCACCCTCCTCCCCCACTGAGCTTCAGGCTGTCACAGAAGGAAAGCCAGCAGATTGCAGGAGGAAACTGGCATGACCTTGGACCCACCACTTAACCTCTCAGGGCTTCAATCTCCTCTGCTGTAGAGTGGGGAAATTACTCTCATGCCATCTACCTTACAGGGTTGCTAAGGGGCTCAAATGAGATAATGGATGCAGAATTGCTTTGCAAATGAGTAAAGTACTCTTCTTAAAGCAAAACGCTGTGTGTTGTTTCCATACCCTGGTCTGCCCAAAGCATACTGACGCACTCGGTGTCGCTATACAATTTGTGTTTCCCTCATTCAATGACTGCATCTGCCAAGTGTCCCCTGCATGACAAGCAGTTTTCCAGGCCCTGAAACGCAATCCCTGGCTTCATGGACCTTCCAGTCTGGGCTGTTTAGATACATGAATTAGAGTGTTTATTTTATTTATTTATTTATTTATTTGGTACTGGGGATTGAACTCAGGGGCACTCAACCACTGAGCCACTTCCCATAACCTATTTCATATTTTATTTAGAGACAGGGTCTCACTGAGTTGCTTAGTGCCTAATTATTGCTGAGGTTGGCTTTGAACTTGCCATCCTCCTGCCTCAGCCTCCTGAGATTACAGGCATGCCCCATGGCACCCGGCTATGAATCAGATCTTCAGATAAGTAGATACCATCTTTACAGATGGCAAAGGGAAAGTGTAAGGTGTCAGGGAGGGACATCTTCCCTGAGGATGACCAATTTGACAGGAGTTAGCTTCAGTGGGGGCAGTGGGGTGGGGCAGGGTGGAAATCAAGGCAGAGAAATCAGCATGTGAGACCAGAGGCCTCTGATAACAAGGCATGGTGGCTTTCAGAAATGGCAGGATGTCCACACAGAGCAGAAAGCTGAGGGCTGCTTTCTCTGTATCTGCTGTGGTGAAGTCTAGCCCCCCTGGTTGGGAATGTCCTCTCTGAAGACAAAAGCCTGCTCCCCTCTCTTTGCTGCAGCCCAAGCTGATTTTTCCCCTTGAACCTCAGGCTGGGCCCAGCACCCTTCACAGAAAAGGCGCAGCAGCCACAGTATCCCCATCTCCTTCCCACTGAAAAGGAGGCAGTGGTTAGTGGTAAGAAGATGGAGGGCTGATCTCCAGCCACAGCAAGCCAGGGGAGGTGGAACGAGGACCACAGGGTCGGAGGGGAAGGGCAGGACTGGCTGGGAATGGTGAAAAATGGCCCTGGCATTTATCTGAGGCCACCAGGCTGGGCCCCAGGAGAGACGAGCTGGCAGAGACCACGTGAGCTGAGGCTTTGAAACAAAACAGTCCAGTTCTGGAGCTGTGTGAAACACATTTAGAGCCGAAAGACCTTGCAAAGGAGTGTCCACAGAGGAATGGAGTGGGCAGGGGGAAGAGAGGTGGACGGAACAGCTTTTAGGATGGTATTTAAATCACCTCCCAAACACGGCCTTCTCCTCTGCTAGGAGCCTCTCTGATGTTTGGAAGGAGGAGGGCTGTCCTGCAAGGGCTGGTCTGCTTTGCGTGAGGCTGGGTGCACTGCAGTCTTCCATGAGGACGTCTGAAAGGTGCAGGCCACTCAGCCTGGAGAAGAGACGGGGGGCGGGGGGGGGGGGTGGCAGTTGTGCAACAGGGTGACAGGGTCAGAATTTCACCACCGGAAACCGGAGAGGAATTATTCTAGACTCAGATGATGGTGCTCAGGTCAAGACCACAGGAAAGCACTCTAACCAGTATCAGTGACAATGAAGCCCTGAGGCTGAGAGCTGCTGGGGCACAGACACGGAACTCCCTGACCTGGCTCTGTCACATCCAAGTGGACATCTCACCACATACATCCTGCCAATGGTCACTTCTCATGCACATCAGCCTTTCTGACACCTGTGATAACATTGTCAGAAAGTAAGACTTTATCATTTTCCCTTAAATCCCAGGCAGAGCAGGTCAGGAAGCAGCTACCCCAGACCCAGGCATTCCTGGAGGAAACCCAGGCCCAGGCTCCAAGCGCTCCCAAAAGTCAGGAATAAGATGATAGGACATGTGTAAACTTTAAAATAACAGTCCATAGCAAAGTAAGTGATGTCCCCTTGCAATTCAGAATGACAGACCTAGTCTAGAGTCACCCAAGTTCAGAACAATCACTGGGAATTGCGTGAAAGCACCACGCGGGGTCTCTCCCATGGTCCCTTCTGTCCAATTCAATTTGCACCGATTGCCATTTGCCATTCCCCCTCAATGAGGGGCTCAGAGTAGAAACTGGCTGCTGGACAGCTGCTCCTGGACAGGGGGTTGGGGGACCACAGTGAGGAATAGGAAGGAGACTCACTTTTCATTCTAAAGTGTTCTCCGTTGTTTGCATTTTTAACAAAGAGGTTGGATTGCTTTTTCAATTAAAAAACTTGGTTAATGATTTTT